CAGTATTGGGACACTATCAGGAAAACCGTTCAACTCAATGAAGAGCTGAAGCCTAAACTTGGTATTAAACACAGAGGACTGCTATGTAAGGGCACTGTGATCTTGCATGACAATGCACGTCCCCCACCTCTGCCCACACTGTTGATATGCTGCAAAAACTTTGTGTTGAGGTGTTAAAGCATTCTCTCTATATTCCTGATCTTGCTCCGTTGGACTTTCACCTGTTTGGTCCCCTGAAAGCAGCCCATCAAGGATGAAGATTCACCTCTGATGAAGAAGTGATGATAAAGGTGCATTCATGGCTCGCAGCTCAGCCTAAGACATTTTAAAACAAGGGAATATGAAAGCTTGTTGACAGATGGATAAAGTGTATTGAAAAGCAAGGAGATTGTGTTGGAAATGATGTATTTGTCTTTTCTAAAAGTTGATTAAAATAACGTCTACAGAGTGTGGATAATTTTTGACTCACACTCATATATGTATGTATGTTGTTGTTAAGTGCCATCAAGTTGTCGATTCCAACTCATAGCAACCCTGTAGTGTATAGGGTTTCTGAGGAGTGGCTGGTGGGTTTGAACTACCAACCTTGTGGTTCAAATCAATCTTGCAGTGAGTATTTATTCTATATACAGAAAAATAAAAAAACAGTCGCCTTTGGAGTCTCTTCCAAGTCCTTGAGATCCTTCGTGTGTCACAGTGCTCCAGAGGGTTTTCAATGGCTGATCTTTTGTAAGTAGATCACCTGTAAGTAGGCCTTTCTCTAAGGCACTTCTGGGTGGCCTTGACTTGAACCATCAGTCTTTAGGCTAGTAGTTGAGCGTGTTAATTGTTTGTACTACCCAGGGATTTGAGGGTTTGGTAATGCCCTCTTCAAACAGCTCCCACAAGGAAAATGCAACCTTAGGAAACTGATAAATTATTGTTGCTGATTGTTGTTGTTGTTTACAGGAACAGGTTGCTAAGTCTTTTCTCCCAAGGAGTCACTGATGGGCTCAAACTGCCAACTTTTTAGTCAGCAACCAAGTGCTTAGCCATTGAGCCAATTGTTGTTGTTAAGTGCCTTCAAGTTGGTTCCTACTCATAGCGACTTCCTGTTTTCAGGAAGTGGCTGGTGAGCTTGAACCACCAACCTTGCAGTTCAAACTGGCCTTGCAGTCTAGCGCATTAACCCATGGCACCACACTAGGACTCCTCCTTAACTGGTGAATTAGTAGTGACTGTTTTCCCCATTGAAATTATTTTTCTTCAGTAAAGGATTTCCTGCAGAGTTATTTTAAACAATAAACGTCCCTTGGTGCACTGAAAATTACTCAATTTACTCAATTACCTGTCTTATTATTGTCTGCTTTTCCAAAGGCAGTGAGGATCTGAGGAGGATGAGTAAGCTGGTGATGGGGATTATCTTGTAAGAACTCACCCTTGGAAGACAGTGTTCCGACCTTGTCTTCTCCAGGGACACTTATTTCTCTTTTCAGAGAGCTGACCTCATGATTAATGCAGCTCAAGAAGGTGTACAAATCTGTGTGTAAATTCTCTTCTCCTCAGGCAAAAAAAAAAAAAAAGAAAAGACAAGGAGGAAATAAAAGCAAACAGAGACATTAGCACAGAGAAGGGCCAGCATTTATCCAGCTTCTGGTGGCAGCCACAGAATGTGGGGTAGGAAATGTGGGAGGGTATGAAGAGTTCTGGACATTATACCTGAATAGAGTTTTTTTTTGTTTTTGTTTTTTTAAATCAGAGACATTTTGCACAAGAACTGGGATTTGGAGGGAAGATGGTTGGATGGCTAACCATTCTTATTTTAATAGATGTTAATGCCAAAGCTGATCTGAAACTGTGTAATTCCTGGCAATCACAGGCTGCCACTTTCTTGCATCCAAGGAGAGGTGATTTGTGGAAATACAAAAGCCAGTCTCTTCTGTTTTCAGCTGCTAAATTCTCTCTCTGAGCATGTTCATGCAACTTAAACAGCTCAGGGTTATGTTTAGCACTAACCAAAACACATACCTCCCAGACTGCACCCTCCGGCGCCTCTGACAATTAGTTGTGACTGCTGTGTTTGTGTTGCAGCTCAAACAGAATGTACACAATTCAGGAGGAGCTGAGTCCAGGGACCGTGGTGGCCAATATGATAGCTGAGGATCCTGATGACGAAGGTTTTACCAGCCGCCTCCTCTACAGCTTTACTACTGTTAACAAGTATTTCATGATAAACACACGTAAGTCTCTCACACACGTGCATCTTTTAATGCAGCCACGTAGATTGCTTTATAAATATTTGATTTGTCTTCTGGTCAGGGGTAAGAATTTCTGTCCAGGACCTATATTTTGTTATCAAGGTCATGTTACTAGGGGCCTCCAAGTCATTTTCAACTCAAAGTAACCCATGTGACAGAGGAGAACTGCCACATAGGAGTCCTGGTGGGTCAATGCGCTGGACTACAAAGTCAGTTTGCACTGCAAGGTCGGAGGTTCAAGCTCACCAGCCACTCCTTGAAAATACTACGCAGAATTGCTACAGGTGGAAACCAACTTGACAGCACCTAACAGCAACCTTTATGGGTATGGCACTGTAGGATAAGCACTGGACCACAAGGTTGGCAGTTCAAACTCACCAACTGACCCTGGGAAACCCTCTATAGGGTCGCTATGAGTTGGAACCGACTCCAGGGCACATAGCACCAGCAATTTTCATGGGAGCAGATCACCAGGTTTTTCTTCCTCGGAGCCACTGTGTGGATTCCATTCACCACACCTGCAGTTAGCAGCTGAGCACTTAACTACTGCACCACCAGGTTTTCTTATGTACCGTTGAGTCAGTTCTGACTCACAGGGACCCTGTGTAGGGTTTTCAAGAACAGCTGGTAGGTTTGAACTGTCAACCTTGTGGTTAGCAGTCTACCCTACAGTGCCACACCAGGGCTCTACCAGGGTAATAAAACCCACTGCCACTGAGTCAGTTCTGACTCCTAGTGGCCCTATGTAGGGTTTCATAGACTGTATTATAAATAGCTGTACTAAAAGCAGCTGGCCTGAGGGTCGGGGTAACTGATGTTGTTAATTGCAGTCAAGTTGGTTTCAACCCATTGCAACCCTGTATAGGATTTCCAAGGAGCAGCTGGTGAGTTTGAACCACCAACCTTGCAGTCCAAACCGGTCTTGCAGTCCAGCACCTTAATCCACAGTGTCAGACTTCACCCTCACTTTCGAGTGAGGAAAGTGGGCGTGCAATGCTGACAGATGGACTCTCCTCAGGCTGCCTTGAGGTCTTTTAAAAAGTAGATCTGTATCAGCACTGTGCAATAGAAGTGTAATGGAAGCACGTATGGAATTCTAGATTCTGGTGTGCTGTGAGTTTGAACCACCAGCTTTGCAGTTAGTAATCCAGTGCTTATCTTGCAGTGCCATTCCAGGAACCCTGCTGTAATAGCCATCATTTATTTGGGGGACTTCCTTCATATCACACATTGGGCTGAATGATTCACAGACATTCCATCTCAGGCTCAGCACACAACCCACTAAACTAGCACAAAATACAGTTACTGGTAAGGAAACTGAGACTCTAAGAGACACTCCGTTAAGCGACTTGACCAAGGTCTCACAACTATATTGTGAAACAGAGCTACTGACCTAAGCCACCTGACTCCAGAGCCTCCCCTTTTAACCCCTTCTGGCAAAGTGGTAGCATCAATGGGCTCAAGCGTGACAACAATAGTGAAGTTGGCTCAGGATTGGGCAGTGTTTTGTTCTGCTGTGCATAAGGTCACTATGAGTCGGTACCGACTTGATGGCACCTAACAACAACAAGACTATGCTGTTGTTGTTGTTAGGTGCCATCAAGTCGGTATGCTCTATAGAGTTTCTGAGGAGAAGCTGGTGCGTTTGAACTACTGACCTTGCAGTACAAACCGACCTTGTGATCCAGTGCTTATTCTATAGTACCTCACCACACCTCCAGAATCCCAGTCATGCCACCAAAAATAACTTTGCTTGACATAATGCTACTGGACAACAGAGGGATCTACTTCCTGGGAAGACTAGCATTGGAGAAAGGAACCCTGGTAGTGTAAACTCAGCTGCTAAGCAAAAGGTTGGCAGTGGCTCCATGGGAGAAAGACCTGCAATCTACTGCTGTAAAGATTGTTGTTGTTAAGTGCCATCGAGTTGGTTCTGACTCACAGTGAGCCTCGTAAACCCTGTGGGGCAGCTCTACTAATGCTCATGAGATTGCCATGAGTTAGAATCGACTCTGTGGTAACTGGTGGTGGTGTGTAACATCACTGGAAAATCCCAGAAAGGCACTGTGTCATTTGCCTCTTAGGCTTTAGGGCAAAGATACCTGTTTTCAGGGAAGGCAGGGCAAAGACAGCTGCTAAAAACTTCCTAGTACTCTGGCCTCATGGATCTCACACAACTGAGAGTGTTGGGTCAGAAAATCATGGTTTAGAATTCTGTTCACCCCAGTATTGGAAAATTGAGCTTTTAAGAAACACAGTATTTTTTGGAGCATGTTTATTAGGACTCTTTGGTTGCAAGTTACAGAAATGAAGGCAACTCAACCTAAGAAAACACTTTAAAAAGGTAAGGAAACTCTATCAACATAAGAGAGTCAAATTGTCAGGGAATAGGTTCCTCCAGGGACCTCAGCAGCTAGACTTCCGGTCTTTGACCTCTAGTTTCACTATTAACCCAGCTCAGCTACGGATTCCCCAGCTCATGACACTCAGTTCCAAATTCTCTAGGAGAACTAGTCTGGTAGCGTAGTGGTTACGAATTGGTCTGCTAATCTCAGGGTCAGCAGTTGGAAACTACTGGCTCTTCTGAGGAGAAAGATGAGGCTTTCTGCTCCCGTAAAGATTTACTGCCTCAGAAACCTTGTATAGTTTTGCTATGAGTTGGAACCAACTCCACGGCACATAACCACCACCAGATCAGGTGTCCACCAGTCCAGTCAACTCTGGACAAGGGCTCCTTCTAGGGACTCCAAACTGAGATTATGAGTAAATAATTTTAGAGGAGGTGGTTCTGATACTCCAATTAATATCTAATTCAGGAATTTACATGAGCTTTTTTAAAAAGTTGTATTTTTATAGAGGATATTTATTTTGCAAGCTATTCTTCATATTGTTGTTGTTGTTGTTAGGTGCCTTCAAGTCAGTTCTGATTCACAGCGACCCTATGCACAATAGAACAAAACAGTGTTGGGTCCTGTGCCATCCTCACAACTGCTGTTACATCGGAGCCCACTGTGGCTGTCACTGTTTCAATCCATTTCCTTGGGGGTGTCTTCTTCTTTTCACTGACCCTCGACTTTATCGAGTATGATGTCCTTCTGCAGGGACTGGTCCATCATGACAACATGTAAAAGAACATGAGGCTTATCACCCTCACTTCCAAGGAGCATTCTGGCTGTGCTTCTTACAAGACAGGTTTGTTTGTCCTTCTGCTAGTCCATGGTACTTTTCAATATTCTTCACCAACGCCGTAATTCAAATACATTGATTCTTCTAAGGTTTTTCTTATGCATTGTCCAACCATGCATATGGTGGTACGGGTGGTGTCGAGTCTGTTCTGACTCATAGCGACCCTTTATGAAGTTTTCAAGGTTGTGAATCTTTAAGGGAACAGAAAGCCTCATCTTTGTCCTGCGGAGCTGCTGGTGCTATTGACCTTGCAGTTCATAGCCCAATGGATAATCCACTTTACCACAAGGACTATGAGGTGATTGAAAAATACCATGGCTTGGGTCAGACATACCTTAGTCCTCAAACTGACAGTTTTGCTCTTTAATACTTTAAAGAGGTCTTTTGTAGCAGATTTGCCTAATGCAATACATCTTTGGATTTCTTGACTGCTGCTTCCATGAGTGTCAATTGTGGATCCAAGCAAAATGAAATCTTTGACAACTTCAACCGTTTAGTTTTCAAATTAGATTGTTCTTCTCTAGTTTTCTCCAAGTCTCCAGATACCCCTATTCTTCAGCTCTCTTCAGAGGATCATGTTCTAACCTTTGCCTTCTCAGTGACTGGTACAATCCATGTGGCCAACAGGCTAGACCGAGATGCACATGAATTGAGACAAAATCCTAAAATATCTCTGGAAGTCCTGGTGAAGGATAGGCCTCAAGGGGGCCAGGAGAATCGCGCCCAGATAACCTTCATTGTTGAAGACATCAATGACAACCCTGCTACTTGTAGCAGGTTCACCTTCAGGTATTCAAGCTTGGGCATTTTACCTCTCTGGTCTTTGATCGTTGGCTTTTTCTGGTATATTCTCAACAGGAACTGAAGAATTATAGGAACCTGGGTAAATGGCTCACAACAATAAGAAGAGTTGAACCGTCCTGTTTTTGTACATAGATTTCCCTTTCTTCATTCTTTTTCCTTCTTTCTGATTTTCTTTTTTCTATTACCTTTCTTCTTCAATTTCTTACTATCTTAAAAATTATTTTAATTTTGCTCCCTTCTATAATATGTTCATCTCCACTGGTGACAAGTACCACAGAGATTTGTTAGAACCTCTCTGGATTGCACCTTTTTGAAAAAATGTATTGCCACTAGTGGCCAGACATTCTGTTAGCTAGCAATTATAATAGACGCTGGAGATTTAGGATTAGTGACTAGGAGACCCCAGAGAACACACCACCAGTATTACTAATAAATCAACCCAAGAACTTAACTTAAAACCAAACCAAACATCAAATTCACCTTATACAACTTAATAGCATATAAACAAAAAGCAACAGAAAGGGAAAAACACAGATACAAGTGGGATGTAAGCTATTTTGTATATTGTGACTTGTTCTTTGTCTTAGAATCTATTCACTTACCCATACAAACCCACTGCTGCTGAGTTAATTCTGACTTCCATCAGCCATACAGAACAGAGGAGAACTGTCCCATGGGGTTCCCAAGTCTATAATCTTTATGGAAGCAAACTGCCACATCTTTCTTCCCTGCATCAGCTGGTAGGTTCATACCTCTGACTGAACAAACAAATCTAGTGTTTTAACCACTGTGTTAACAGGACTTCCTAATCTATTCACAGCTATATAAAAATAAAGTCCCTTGTGATTGAGGGGAGTCCTGGTGTGGTGCTGTAGGATAAGCACATGATCTCAAGGTTGGTTTGAACCAGAAGGTCTGTGGTTCAAACTCACCAGCTACTCCTTGAAAATCCTATATAGGGTTGCTATGAGTCAGAACCAACTCTACTGCACTTAACAACAACAACATGCCTTTTTTTGAACGGTATTTTCAATCTATTCGCCATTTATCAAACGTCACAAGATTAATAATTCCCCAAATTAATGTTATCTTTGGATTGTAACACCTGGTCTCCAGTTTACTGTGAGTCTGAAGTGGCTCCTCCTCTTGGAAGAAGGGTGAGGGAGAGGGGAGGTAAGGAATGGGTAGGAGAGCTGAGGGGACACTTGCCAAGAGAATGCCCTGAAGACCAGAGTGAATCTCCGCTTCGGATGCCCACATGGAGAGTCTCCTTCTAAGCATATCTTTAACTGGTTTTGCGAGTTGACTTTTTAAAGCTCTGGGTGAATTTGGACACTGGTCTTATCCACATGGTATGAACATACAAAGGGGGATTGCTCAGGGTAAGCAATGATTGTTAGTTGTCCTTGAGTTGACTCATGACGACCCCATGCCTACAGAATGGTGGTGGTGGTGGTTATGTGCCATGGAGTCGGTTTCGAATCATAGCGACCCTGTCTGAGGCTGTAAATCTTTACGGGAGCAGAAAGCCTCATCTTTCTCCTGTGGAACAGCTGGTAGTTTCGAACTGCTAACCTTGTGGTTCTCCGCCCGATTTGTAACCACTATGCTACCAGAGCAGCCATATGCCTGAAGAATGGAACTGCTTTATAAAGGTTCAAGGCTGTGACCTTTTGTAAGCAGATTTCCAGGCCTGTCTCCTGAGACACTTCTGTGAGTGGGTTTGAATCACCAACCTTTTAGCTAGTAGTCCAGGGCTTAACCATCACACTGTGCATCACACTGGCACTCCCAGAGAAAGCAACAGAAATAGAAATTCTTTTATTATACTTATGCCTTCAGACTGTAGGGAATCAGTGTGACCTCAAGACTGATATCAAAAGCATTAAACTCTGTTCCGGGCACATCCCATCTGCCTCTCCGAATCCACTCTCCACCCTGTCCCAGACTGCTCTGGGACCCAGGTAACTGACTTGTATGGACAACCTCAATAAGCAAGAGATTGGGGAGAAACGGAGGGTGAACTAAGTGTATTTATCCTCCTGAGTCACCCTTGCCATTGAGATGTCCCTCCACTTCCTGAAGATCTTTGTTCCTTTAAGGCAGCTCACTCCAAACAGCATTCCCTGTGCCTGGCTTTCAGACCTGGAGGTACCCATTCTCACCAGCTCTCAGCCATTGCACTGTCCCTTGAGACTTCCACACACTCTGTGTGAAGCTCTGTAGTAGTCTCTTTACTAAACCCTCCTCTTCTTCCCACTGAACCCAGATAAAGTCACAGCAGCTTTGGCCAGCGGTAGATTTCTACCCCAACCCTAAGCCTTCATGGCCCTCAGAGGCAATTAGATGGGATGGTTCCTATGGGGAGTTAAGATGGTGACTCCTGCACCATTACATCTTCAAATGGAACCCACCTTCTCTTAAGAGAAGTCTGGGCCCTGGGATAGAGTAGAGGTGTGTGCTGCCTCTAGACACTAGACAGAAATACCACAAGTGAATGGATTTACAGGCAGAAGTGTACTCCCTCACTCTAGAAGTCTGAATTCAGAACACTGACTTTAGGGGAAAGCTTTCTCTCTGTTGGCTTTAGAGGAAGATCCTTGTCTTTTCGGTTTCCTGGTTTCTTGGAGATCTCCACGTGTCTTGGCATCTACCTTACCCCACCTCTACTCTGCTTGCTTGTTTAATCTCTTTTATATCTCACGAGAGATTGACTCAAGATATACGCTACACACAAATTCTGCCTCATTCATATAACAATGACAACTCATCTCCAAACGGGATTATAACCTCAAGAATAGAGATTTACAGCACATTTTTTGAGGAGACGCAATGCAACCCATAATATAGTTTTCTTTGGAAATTTAATGTAGCTCCAATGCATCCTGGAAAATTCATCTCCTGATTTTCTGGATGTCCTTGCCCTTCTTTGTTGCCTTGTCCCATGAGGTGGGGAAGTGTCATGGTGGTTGGCCCTGAGGATTGAAGCACTCTGGGCACCTATGACTGAGAAGGACTGTGCTGTCTCAAACCCTCCTTGTCAGTGCACATGCTCTGGCTCCCTGAGGTCCAGAATCCTGTATGTTTGTGTTGAGTTTGTAGACTATGCTTCTCATTGTTGTTGTTGGGTGCCATCGATTCAATTCTGACTCACTGTGACCCATAGAGTTTTCATAGAGCTGAGCCATGGGGCTTTCTTGGCTGTAATCTTCATGGATTTGAATCACCAGCCACTCCACAGGAGTAAAATGAGGCTTTCTGCTTCCGTGAAGATGTACAGCTCAGAAGACCCTATACAGGGTCTGCATGAGTGGGTGCTGACTTGGTGGCATACTTCAGCAGCAGAATTCTTCATGGAAGCAGATGTCTAGGTTTGTCTCCTGAAAAACTACCATGGGCTTGAACCTCATCTTTTCAATTAGCAACCTAGTTAAAGTGGTATCTCACTTCTGGTTTTGATGTACATTTCCCTAATGAGTAGTGATGTTGAATGAGCTTTCATGCGTTCTTGGCCATTTCTTAATCTTCTTTGGAGAAATGGCTATTCAAATCTTTTGCTCATTTTTAATTGGATTTTGTTTTTTGTCTTGTCATTGTTGACTTTAAGGTTTTTATTGATTGGTCACGCTATGACATCTCAGGACACCAGGTTGGCAGTTATGGTAGCTGGTAAAATCACATTTCCAGTGTCCCAGACTATTCCTGCAAGCCCATTCAGAGTTCTGCTCATGATCATCCTCCCAGTGTAGCCTTGAATGCCAGCACCAAGTCAATCACTGGATTAACTGAAGATAATTCTAAATAACATTCAAATCCTTCCTTTGGGCTTGTCCAGCCAGAATGACTCTCAGCGGTCCTATGAAAACCTAGGGCAAAAAAGGGGATCCTTTCTCAGCAGACAGGAATGGGGACTCTTTACTCCAGAAACCCAGCCTGCCAGTCCATTGGCTCATGTGCATGCCGCAGGGACTGAGTAAGCCTGATCCCACATCATCTACCATCCTCCCATCCTTGCGTCCTCTTCCAACCCAAACCATGCCAACCGAACTCCAAACCAAACTCACTGCCATGGAGTCCGTTTTGACTCATAGCAACACCATATAGGGGTTCCAAGGTTGTAAATCTTTGTGAGAACAGAAAGCCTCATCTTTCTCCCTAAGAGTGCTTGGTAGCTTTGAACTGCCAACCTTGAGGTTACCAGTCCAGTGCTTGAGGTTACCTACAGTGTCACTCAGCTGGGTCCAAGCTATTTATCTGGTCAAAGTAGAAGTACAGAAGCAGGTTTTTGAAAAACAATTTAACAATGAGAGCAATGCAGCCAGTCTCTGACAACAATTGCCCCTTCACTGGGGTCCTGGGCCAGGTCCTTCCTGCTGAGTTTATGAACTGGCAGAAGTGTGGATGGGAGGAAGCAGTCTGACTGTGGTTATGACAATGCACTGGGCATGGGGAGACCGTAGGAAAGCAGTGCCTCTATTGTCCCCACTGGTCTGTACAAGCTCTCAGGCAGCCCCAGAGATCAAAATAGCCCTTAGTCCTGCCTAAAAGGGCCCTTGTGACTTTCTGGAGCTCAGTGACAGCCCCACCTATGCTGGCTGTAAATTGTCAGGTGCTTGGCTGAAAGCGCTTTGCAAGCTGTTTGTGAACAAGAGGCAGAGAAGGTTGGCTAATTTTGAATGTAGCTAGGCAGGTCACCTTTGCATGGAGAGAAACCATGGTCAGATGGCAGAGAGGGAGTGCAGTGGCCTTTGATGAATGGGGGTGTGGCTTTCCAAGTCACAAGCTTATGGAAGAAATGCCAATTGTCAACAAAGAACAGAAGAACCAGGCACATAGCCCCAAGGAATTGAGTGCCTGGAATGTCTGGCTTCCGGACTCTGAATTCTTTGGATGTTGCAGCCTGGTGGCTTCCTCAGAGTAATAATCAAGGTTCAGATCCCCCGGCCATCTGTGGGTCTGGCTATTCTGTGATGGAACTTAATAAA